TTATTCTTCCGTTGAGACGTGTCATTATGAGGAAATAATGAAATAGCTCACGAATTTCGGGTTTTGGACATATTTAGATATATAACTGACTTAGAACCTTACAGTATAAAGAATCGTGGATTCATTTTTAAATCTAAGAAGACTCCACCTTAGATCGGATCTTTCTGACAGGTTCGTTTAAAGACTGACGTGCAAAGGAAACTGTTAGATCTATTTTAGTACTGTTCGTAAGATATTTACGAAAATTATTTATGTTTCAAAAGTTATGTGTCTATTAAGTAGATCTATTTGAATAAATTTGTGAATTTTGAACACAATTTTCCACCAGGATACGCATAGGGGAAAAAATTGAAAATGACTTGGGTTAAAAATTTCTAATAAAATGGTGTTATAAAAAAACAAAACCGATAAAAACTATTTCTTTACAATTTAGTTTTAGACAATTTTCTAAGCTTAAAGCCTATCGATTGTTAGTAAAAATAAAAATTATCTTTTCGGTGTTTAAATTGAGAAAAAATGCATTTTATTTTCATTTTATGAAATTGATTCCTGTCTAGTGTAAAGATGAATAATTTTTCAGATTGAGAGGTTCATATATTGCCTTACTTTCTACGCGCAGAATATGTTAGTAGTTTAGAGAGATTTTGCATCCTTCTTCCTCCGTTCCGTTACTTCTTTTTATCAGCAAGCTTAGTATTTACATATTGAAAGGAATGCAAAATCTCCTTTCAATCTGAATTACTTCCTAAATATCATCATAAATAAATGTATAAACATGTTGTTTTCTAAAAATGTTTGTTTTTGCATGCCTGAAACGCCTGTAAAATTAGCAAGGAATTTGCCTTTTTTAAGAAAAAGTTCATTACGAGATTAAAATTTGAAAAATCAATCACGCGATGAATTCAGTTAGTAAAACTAGATCTTAATAGATTTTTAGTTCGATCTGATTAGTTCTTTTTAGATCTTTACTTACCAAGAGTGACTTTGCTTTCATCCATTCCTAAAAATAAAAAATAAAAATTAGTAATTTTAGGTAAAAAAGTTAAAATCAAGCAAAATCTTATTTAAAAAAAAATAAGGATAAGAAGCTTTAGTTACTTCTTCCTTTACTTGAGAATTTGAATTTTGGTAAAAAGCTATGATGCAATGTGACTTTCCAATGTAATGCATGGATTTACCGAATTTTCACCCTTAGTAATTACGTAAAAGTTAAAAAATTACACTTATACAAAGTATAAAAAGCATATTTAATATAAATAATAGATATTATTTCTGTAGATATTTTTTTGTAATAAATTTTTGAGGTATTTAATATAAATTTTCACATTTTAGATATTATACTTTAATAGATTAATATGATGGAAAAATGATCGTATTTTAAGCGCTTTTAATCATTATCAAATTAAAAAATAAAAGAGCATATTTGAAAACGTAATTTTTAAATATAATAAAAAAAGTACATTTATTTTCCTTATTCGCTTATAGATTTATTTTCTTTGGTGCTGGCTAAGTTGTTCTTTAAAATTTTAAATCGAGATGCATAATTGATATTAATATTTAATACTATAATATGAATCATATTGATAAAAAATTAAGTTTTCATAAAATGAATAAAAGTGCTAATTTTCACATGTAAAGTATTAATGGAAACGTAAAAAAAGAGAAGAAACAAAGGGGAAAAAAAAAGAAAAAGAAAAAGAAAGAAAAAAAAAAAAAGAAAAGAAACATATTTTTTCCCTCTTATATTAAGCGAAATGAAATTATTCGATTACATTGTATTGGGATATAAAATATTATACATAAACAAAATAGACAAATTAAAGTAATAGTTGAATGGTGTAAAATTTTCTGAAGAAAAACTTTCTTCGTAATAGGTAAATAAAAAAAAAAAACAGTTACATTTTACTTGAATTTTAAAGTTTTAAGCTAATGCACAACCATTTGTGTTTTCGTAAACATTTCTGATTATTGCTCATTACCAACAGGAAGATGGGACGCGATCGCAATTTTTAAACGCTCCCTGAGCATTTGTATCCGCTTTTTGTTTTCTTTTGGCTGATCATTTTCTTCTAAAGCCCCGGGGGGCCAAGCCCCATCCCACCTAAATTTAACAAGGTAGGGCGCGCGTCTGCCGCGTGCCAAGATCGTTCTTCTCCCTTCTGGTTTTTATGAATGCCCCACCCTCTTATAACATCAGAGACAGTTTTCTCTGCAGCTTCTATCATCATCACCTGTTACATTGGCCGGACCCATGCCAACATTTCGGTTTTGTTTCCCACCTACAATGCGTACGTGCATTGAATTCCTTAATGTATGAGAATAATACATTTAAAGGATCGAGATTTTCAGTTTGGATTTTGATAAAGGTCATTACTACTTAGCGTGGGAAATATAAAAATAGTAATTTATTTCCTTTTTTAAATGCGCAGAATGATTTTATTTTAGTCAACCATATGGTATCAAACGATCAATTAGTAATTTCAATTAGAGAGTACTACTTTCCAAATTTAAACAAATTACAAAAGGTATATTTAGCAGTCAATATTGGTACATATTTTAGTAAGTAAAGTACATTGGTTGCGGTACGCATAAGCAAACTTCAGAATAACTGAATTTTGTTTTGGAATACTGTACGTTATGTTATCTTAGAATAAATGTATAGTTTTCATCGATATTTCCTATTATTATTAGTTGATAATCTTAAGGGATTAGAAGAAAGAAATTTAATGTTCGTTACAGTGTATTCCGTCTGGATATAAACAGTTTAGTTAATTTCCGAAAACAGGTGAAATTTTATCTGTAATAGAAAAATTAATATTTAAAGCAAATATGCTATTTATATCTAATTGGTCACTACTGAGGAAGTTGAGACAAACTATTTAAGTGAGAATAAAAGGCATATTAAAAATATAAAAATCAGTTTGATTACGTGAGGAAGCTGAGAGGAGAATAAGGTGATCATTGGGAAATTCCACAGACAAATAAGCAGATTTGATATTTAAATCTCGCTTTTCTCGATAATGATCCATTATATTTTGACTTTTTTTTAAACTTAAACATTTCTAAGGAAATCATAATGTGTACTTCATTCTTCATTCTTATCATCATATTTGGCAACAATTCTAAAAATATGCAAAAAAAAAAAAAAAAAAAAAAAAAATTTNACTGTTATTACAGTACGCCTTAAATGAAAGTTATCAAAATAAATACGAAAACAAACTACATGACAACATGTATCACATACTAACCGCGTAGTTTAATGAATATTTATTTTTTAATAATCATTATTCCTGTGTGATTTTGTATCCGTTTTATATTTTTAACTTTGCTGTAATCGGAAAATCATTGTGATTTTCATGCATATGTGATCTGAAATGAATAAATATTTTATTTGATAACAATAGAGAATTCTTCATTTTTTTCTCTCGTTATTTTGTAGTCGAGTATACTATTTGTAAGATCTAATCCGTTGAGAAAGAAAGTCTTTATCAGACAATTAAATTGGAGATGTTTTGTATACATTAGATTAGGCAATATTGTGCAAAAATTGAAAATAAAAAGTAAATAAATTATAAAATATATTTTATTATTTGTCAAGACTATAATGCTATAATAGCCTATTGTTACACGTTAGAAACTTTAAATTATTTAGATTTAAAATTGCTGTCGGGACAATAAATTTTATATTTTAATTAAAATGTTGATTGTTAAATGTCGACTTCGTCAATTTTTTACTCGGAAAAATTTAACATGGACTTATTAAAGTTAAAATTAAATCAGTGCGTTAATTTAGTTGTATAATGTAGTTGTGTGTTATTTAGTATAATGTGTTTTTCAAATTTTCGTTTGGAAAATATTATTATCAATCGGGGGGATACGGGCATATGAAAAATGAAAGAAATAATAATTAAAATATGCTTATTAAGAGCCGCAAACTATTGAAAAGTGCTATTTTAATAGATTTTAAATGTCAATTTAAATAGATTTTTAAATGTCAATTTAAATAGATTTTTTCCCATAGAAAGCTTAGGTATTTTAATATTTCAAAAGGGGGAGGGGGGGACTTATCCACATGGTTTAGGTTAGCTCAAAACCAGGTTCTTGAAAAATATGGTTTATTTACTGAGATAAATTTATACTTGACTAAGCTCGGCGTTAACAAATTTCATTGTAAATGTACTTGCACTTTTTCTGTACAAACTAAATTATATGATTCAATACATTTTTTAGTCTGAACAAAAAATATTCAAAATTGACGAAAATATAAAAGAAAGGCAGGAAATAAATTTTTAAATAAAATTGTAGAATTTAAGGAATAAATAATACAAATAGTTAAAATTGAATGTTGCAAACATTTAAAAATGTCAGATTGTCAGCATTTCTTTTAAGTATTTGAGTTATTTACATTCATTTACTTAACTTATTTGAAAAATTATGTATAAGCTTAGGCACATTTTCATTTAGATTGTTTTGAAAGCATCTTTTTTATGATAACCTTTGTAATAACTTTTGTAACTGTGTGGATCTCTCTTTTAGAAAGTTTTTAAAATCATAATGAAATTGTGTACAGCTGTCTTACATCGGTCAACTGCGAATTAAATCGTGGTAATCTTTTTTCTAGTGTTTTAAGCTTCCTAGCTTCGTCAATCTAAATTCACAGTCATTATTTATTTAAAATAACATCGTGATAAGATTTTGATAAAGTTTGATCAGCTTCATGAATATTACTGAGGATGTATCTGCATCTCGTTCTCTAACCTTTCAAAAACAAACTCACTGCGTGCAAAAAGGGTTAAAGAATTCAAGGGTGACGAAATTTATCGCTATCCCTTTTTATAGATCCATAAATTAATCATCTTGACCGATTCAATGAAATCAACAGGTGATCCCCCACCCTAACCTAAGTACAAGAAGTAAGTCAGCGAACCCGGTACTACTCGCTTGCCCGAAGCAGTGGGCAGAACTCAGCTTGGAATTATGTCCGGGTATTTTTTTGCCGCTTATCTTTGGACACCCCCCTTGCCTTTCCCTTATTCTCCGCCCTACCTGGCCAATTTTGACTTTTGATTGTTTTTTTTTCGTGCACCCCTCCCCATTCACGGTTTTGTACCACATGGTCCATCTTCTGGTCGCTGGCCCTACAAGCTTAAAATGCACGCCTTCTTTGATATTTTTTTACTTTTTTGCAATACGAAGAACAGCCTTGGCGAGGACGCAAAGTATAAATAGAACAAGCTTTGATTTTATTTTTTGCATTCGGGATTTTTGTAGGTTTGTCTGATCGGCTAGTGGAAGCGGTTCCATATAAACAAAAAGGTAAACACGTGCCTTCTTAAAAGGGGATGTATCTGTTATTTCCGACAAAAAGCTACTTTTCTCTTTGAAGAAACTTGCTTTTCTTTTTGTCATTGTTGACAGTTGTATTATGGGTGTGACTGATTGTGGGAAGAGATAGCTTTACAAACATAGAAACGGTGCTTATAAAATCTTTTATAATAGCAATGCTGGTGGATAAAAATAATTCTTGTGCATATAAATAAAAAGGCAAAGCAGATTTATAAGAATTGAACTAAAAAACCGTTGTACGTTTCAGCATAATATTGCTACTGATTTCTTGTTGAAAATTTGCCATGTCTCAGGTAAATAATGTTTAAATAATTCTATTGTTATTGAATATTTGTATTTCAAAAATTAATTATAATGAATAGTGTTATATACTCTATTATAAGTATTTTAAAGCATAACATAAATGTTATAATGGTTCGATTTATTACATTATTATCAAAGAACACCGACTTAGATTTTCTAATATCTCTTTTTTTATCCAAACCTTTAATTAAGAAAAAAAAAAATCTTTAGAAAGTTTTCGGTAAAGATTCTATCGCATAATTTTCTAATCTAAATACAATAATTTAAAGAGAGTTTATAAATAATTTCTTTAACTCAATTTTTGTTCTTATCGGGTTAATTAGGCTTGAATAAACGACTATTGTTTATAATTTTAATTTTTTTTTCTCCACTTATAACTTCATAGAAATGCAATACGATTGCATTTTTATAATGCCAAATGGCATGCATTTTAATTATTCTAAAAACAAAATTCCTTTAAAATACTTTGACGCAATAAACTAATGAAACTTCATACTTTATTACAATGGAGAAATCATTAAAATATGAGGTATCAAAGGTATGTTACAATTAATAAGACACATATATTTTTTTATAAAGTTTGCACGTATTTTTATAATTTTGAGTTGTTTTGTTTCATTTCTTGTTATCATTTTTAACATAAATATATGTTTTTTTTAAAAAAAATTTATTACATTTTGTCTTACAGTATAATCAAAATTACCCGATTTGAGTGTTGTCATGATTGTTCCTGAAACGAATGATTTTTCACGAAGCAATTATTTTTAAATAATTTATAGAATTTTGAATGAAAACTCTTTGCATTCTTAAAACCTTAGTTTCAAAATATTTTCAAATAAAAAATTAATTTTTGCTAGTCTTTTAGGTGTTTTTAATTTAGTAATTTTCGTGTTAAAAAAAATTAAGAATTTGATACCATATAAATTTTCTACCTCTTTAAAAGTGCAACTCGTTTACTGTATTACCGTTAAATCTATTCAACACTATATATTTTAGTTTTGCATTTTTAAAGAACATCCATCGAATCATTTGTAGGATAGACTATTACACAAGTTAAAGGAAATATACCTATAATACAGATATAATTCAATTTGGCAAATTTTCATAAAATCAGCCTATAGCTAAATCTTGCAAGGAAATATGTTACTTTGTTTTAATTTTATAAAAATGCAAATAGTTTACTTCTTATAATTTCGAATTTATGTTGCAAGTTCTTAATTTTTCTCATTAACTATTTTACCTTTAAGCAATTCTACTCTTTCAAATGTCATATTTGCTGATTAGTCATACTTGCTTAGTTATTATAAATCATACAATACTTATATTTTTTTTTAAAAAAAAGATTAGGTTCTATTTACATTTTCTGAAATTTCTATAAACGTTTAAAAACTTACCCTAAAAATTTTAAAAACTATCAGCATGACACAATATGTTGCTTCCATAGTTATTAATTTGTTAAGAAAAATAAAAATTTCTAAATATTTCAAAAAATTGGAGCGAGTGTAATGGTAGTTTTACCAATAAATATTAGAATCTAAGGAAACTAGCAAAATACGCTTGGAGCTTCAGATTTGTAGATTATTTATCTGTGAAACAGGTTGAACCCCCGGATAAATAAGTTTAATTGAATAAAGTTTTGTATTTTTTGGCAATTATCGATTATTGTGAACGAAGACTTGCTCAAGCTCATCATTATTAAAATTTTGAAAAATACTGTTCATTTAATTATAAATGAGAAGGGTAGAAAAATTGTTTGATAAACTTTACGTGACTTAATTGGTTTTTGATCCAAAATATAATCCGAAATACAAATGCTGTTAAGCAGATTAGTGAGAGTTTGAGTTTAAATTATTTGGTTTTACACCAGTTTTATGTTGCATATTAGTATTTGTAAATACTTTTCTGAATTGTCTTCAGTTTAAAAATAAGTTTTCAGCATGCACGTGTTTATTTTCAATTTTACAATGCTATTACAAACTGAACATAATTTTTCATTTTATAACAAATGTTTAAATATTTAGCGTGTTTATTTTGTTCAAAAGTTAAATGTTAAATAATGATAAAAAAATTAGAGCAAAAAAATTCGTTTAAAAAATACTTTTCTAAAATGCATCAAGAAGTAAGAGAAAAAAAAAACTGATGCACAATGGTGGGGTATTTGATGATATATAATAAATATGATTTGCCGTTTAATAACTTACCATCATTAATAAATCAACGCATTTAGTGTTCATGTTGCGTACTTTTTTTAAAAAAAATAATTGCTTCTGTTTTTTCTTAATTATTTTCGATATGCTATATATTAGCCCAGAAAAGGAACAAAATAGACAATTTATTTGAAATATTTTTCATTATTTGTCATGTATTTAACGAGTTTTAGTTTTGCTTTCTTCCTCTTTTAATCACACTAACCTGTTGTGTTCACAAAGTAGAAAAATAATGTGTACGAATTAAGAATTTTGCAGTATTTCAAAATACAATTCTGGGAATTTGAACATTGCAAGTATTTCATTTAAATTTCTAAATGATGAAAAATATGGTTGAGCTAAATGAAAAAATATATTAAGATTAATAATATAGGCTATTAGAAAATAAAAAAAAAAAAACGTTTACCATTTATATGCTATTTTAGCATTATAAAGGAACTACGTTTTTCACCCATTTTATTTAAGATCAAAATGGAGGAATAAAAATATAAAGAATAAACACCCATTCTTTTCCTTAGTAGATTCGGATTTTTGCACCTAAAAATAGAGAGATTAGAAAATTTTGTTTCATAGTTTAGTCTAGAGAGAAGTTGAAAGATTGGATTTCTCGATGTTATTTTTAAAATTTTGCGTAATTCTGGGACTAATTACGCAAATCGAAATTTTTTGCTTCGTTTAGCGTATTAACGATTTCTAACTGCTTAAGATAGTTTTATGCAAAAAAAAAAACATTTTTTTTTGAGTTGAAGTTTAAAATTACTTCAACATTTCTTTAAACAACGCAATTTTTGGAAATGCCAAATTTGAAATAAATCAGATAAATAATTCCTACATATTAAAAAATTAAAAAAAAAATATTTTTAAATTTTAGTTTCTTTTAACAATATTTAATTTGGTACTTTATCACTGTAATTACTTTAAATTGTCTTTAGATTATCTTTCACACTTATTATTTTAAAATCTAATGCACTAATTTTATATACATTTATCATATGCACCCTATTTTAAAATAAAAAACTAAACAAAATTTAAAACGTCCTAATTTGTTTTTTTTTTAAGCAATCGCGTGAAACCGCATTGGCATTTTTGGAAACGTAATCTTTCTTTATATAAAGTAATAAACAAAAAAAAAAAGCAAATAAATAACTAAATGATGTTGCATCTCAAATTTTTTTTTATTTGATTTATTTCTTTATACATTTTGCGCATACTTAATTACAAAATTAGTATTTAATTATTATTCATTTTTAACGCAACAATGTTGAATGAATAGGAAAACTTAAATTATAATAACATTAATACTTAATCGCAAATGATATATGGAATTCGAGTGTATTTGATACGTTGAACTTATTTCGCTTTAAGTAATGTTACAGCGTAATGTTAAAAATAGAGTGTACTTTTAAGAAATAAAGCTGCAGAAATGTAATTATTATTAACATATTTCGATTAAATGATAAAAAATAAAAATACATATTTTCGGAGCCATGTACGAACCCACTTAATTAAATTGTACGTTTTTTTCCGCTTGTATTGTTACAAAAAAAGACGTTGAATTCTTCGAAATTTTTTCTTTTAACCATACGTTAAAAGCTCCACTTCATTTATCATACGCTTCACAAGTGATTTAGTAGGACTCTATGAAACGAGTTAATGGGAAAAAACATCCTAAGTGAATTGCTTTTATATTTACTTGATAATCTAAACTTCCTTTACATCAAAATAAAATAAACAAAATAAATAAAAATTGAAGATGTTGACAGGTTTTGAGCACTCAAAAATAGGCGTTAATTTTCAAGACTCGCCAGATGTAAATGAGAAAAATAAAAGATTTTTCTTCCAGATTCTTCATTAAGAAGTGTTACGTACTATCTGAAAGTTCGTACGTAGACGTGTTACGTACGTACGAAGTGTGATCTAACTTAATTCTTTTGCTTTACAAAGTTTTGTTTCCTTTAATTCCACATTTACATATTACAACATTTCCTATCCCCTTTATCTCCAAGAATTTTATGATTTACACTTTATCACTTACGAAAAAATTTTTTCTTTTCGAGATTTTATGCAGCACGCCTTCAAGAAAAGAATGAATGTATGCATATTTTTTGTTTAAATTTTACTATTAATGATAAAAATTGAAGTAAAACATAGTGTATAGAATTTAACCATTTTTAACACCCTGTATCCAGTTTGACCTGGACCACTTGTTTCAAAAAAATTACTAACCACTAGAAATGTAAACTATTTGTTTCTAAAATTTTCTTCGTTTGTTCAGCAACAACTGTTTTGTGTGGCGCAAAGAGCTGAAGTTTATTTCTATATATAGATTACACTGAAAAAAAAAATTTTTTTTTCGTTGATTTGCACAAATACTTGACCTTGATAAATTTGGGTGTGAGATTTCAAAGCTGAAACTATTTGAATTAATTTTGTTGAATGAAGCTGAACTAATTTTGTTCCTAAGGATACGGAATTTTTTCAAAATGAAATTTTTAGCCTAATTCCGGTTTAAATGTAGAAGTTTAAAAATTTTATCTGTAACATAGGGTCGCATAAATGTTGCGCAAACTTCTGAGGGAGTTAGAGCACATTGAAAGGATTTAAACTGCCAAAAGAACTTATGTTCGGAAATGTCGTCGTACGCGGCTAGGGACACTTTTCTATTACGAACTATATTCAGAAGCACGCAAAGAACCAGTTTGTAACATAGAAGCGTTTCTAACGGCGTGTGATTATACTTCCGGTCATGGGTTCCAATGCAATTTTAACCCTGATGATTTGTCCTAACTGCCTCAGAAGTTTGACGAAAGATTAAATTAAGATTAAGTGACCGGATCATACTATTGGTCGAAAATGACATCATTGTACTTGTGGGGAGGGAGATGGTATGTATAGACTGGAGTTTCGTTTTTACGTGGTTTCAGATTTTGTTTTCACGTGTGCTCCGGACTTTACTTCATTCTTGTAAATGTTTACGTAATATCAGTATTAAATTTTATTTTCAAGACTTCGGCTTTAATAGAAATTATCACAAAATTTTACGAATTACAAAGAGTATTTTTAATTTTAAACAATTTTAATAATTAAAAGAATTATTTATTTAGTCGTATGCATTATACTTTATAACATTTGTAAAAGAAGCAAAACAAAATACTGTCTACAGTCTAAGCATTTATTACCTCTCAGGTTTTCTTCCCATCAGGGCTTTTTTTAAAAATCAGTGAAGCATTTTATTATTATTTTCTATTGAACACACATTGCTTTTATTTAAATTAAAAATTTTAAAATATTAGGCTAAAAAAACAAGTTCGAAAAATAATGCAGTTATATATCTTGAAACTGTAATAAAATGAATAATAAATTATAAAATAGAAATAAAGGAAAAAATCATGGTACTGTATGGCATGGCATGGCAAAGTGGCATTGTATTATTGTTTTCCATTGAACACACATTTCTTTTATTTAAATTTAAATGTTTGAAATATTAGGCTGAAAAAACATGTTTGAAAAATAATGTAGTTATATATCGTGATACAATAAAATGAATTATAAGTTATTAAATAGAAATAAAGAAAAAAAACTAGCTTGTTTAAAGGTAAATTTTTCAGCGATTTTCCTTAATCGCGTCAACGCCAGTCAGTACATAACATCTCCATCTCCCTTCACACAAGTAGTGATGTCATTTTCGACCAATAGCGTGATCCGGCCACTTAGACATTTTATCGCTTGTGAAGTTTGTCGAAACATTTATATGATCACATTTATATATAACATTTTTAAACTTGTACATTTCTCAAAAAAAAATTTGAAAAATTTAATAAAAACAAAACAAAACTGTAGATTGAAACTGATTGCAGACTTGAAATCAGCTATCGGAATGTATCTAAGATCTACTAAAAAATCTCAGACAATAGGGAAAAAAAGTATTCCTTAGTGTTATGGACTCAGTTGCTAATGTGATGTCTCACATAACTCTGAAGTTTCCTGAGTCGGAAAGAGTCTAGTTTAATTTTTAATTTTTTCAGGGAAAGAAAAAAAACCCCATTTAATTACAAAACTTAGTAAACAACCAAGCAAAGCAAAGCATTGTTTTAGGCATGCTTTTACTCAACACATACTTCATGCAGTCAGCACACACATCTACCGCTAAAACATTTTTACTGTGTTTTTATTAACTAGCTTTCGCATCTGTGAAAGTAGATTTTCGCCGCTTTTGGAGTAGCTAAAGTACGCAAATCTCTACCGCAACTCCGTTTTTGATGAGAAAGCCCATTTTCAGTGTTTCCTGACCACAATCAGCAGAATTTATAATCGTTTTACTAACAAACAGAATTTATCAAATAAAGTTTTTAGCACTAGCCATAAAAGCTTAAATTTTCAATAGGGCTTAGGCTGGAACATAGGGAAGCGTTTAAATTGAAACGTATTAGCTGGCTAGCTTTAGTAATGCAATCAGTTTTATTATAACGTAGACAAGCACATTATTTTCCTCATGAATTATTTTCCTAAGCATTGGATTTGCGAATATCATTTACTCAATTATTTGATACCATACATATTTTCATTTATTTATATATCATGTTTAAAGTATTTAGTTTATTGTTATTTATGATATCATTTTAATTTTCAGGCAAATGTCTTCCTATTCGTCTTTTTAGCTTTTCTAGAACTGCTAAAGAATTCAGTTGTAATAGGCAATGGCGAACATTTTCAAGAGTCAAGGACAAGTAGAGATGCAGATCTTTTTTCCTCAATACCAGTACGTTCTTTTTATGTGTTGCTTCATTTTCTTTTACTTTTTATAGAGGAGTATCATAAAAGCATTGTTTTTAAAATGCTAAAAAAAGGAAAAGAAAAAAAACAAGAGTTGCAAAACAAAGAGGACTTTGGCTTCCTACTTTTGATTTTTCCTACTTATGACTACTTTTGGAATGATAACTTTAAATGATATAACCATTTTATGACTCCTGCTATGAGTAATAAAATAATTTCAATTACGTATATATTTTATTTTTATTCGTCGTTTAACAGCCGACCCAATTTTGGGTTTACCACTACCAATGTTCAACTCCGTAGCCTTGTAATTTTGAACCAATCCAGAAGACAAGGAAACTTCTGGATCAGTACCCCCAGAGGTATTGATTTGTTATGGGAACATGGAGAACTCTGCAACTCGACAGATTTAACGTGCATCAGTCACCGTTTACTACACGGGAAGTCTTCGGCCGGTGGGGATCGAACCCACGAACTATTGGACATGGGCCCAGTGCCCTACCAACCAGGCTACCCCGGCCTCAATTACGTTTATATTTTATATTTATAGCCGTCGTTGAACAGCCGACCCAGATTTCTGGTTTACTACTACTAATGTTCAACTCCGTAGCCTTGTAATTTTGTACCAATCCAGAAGACAAGGAAACTCCTGGATCAGTACCCCCAGAGGTATGATTTGTTATGCCGTTGACGTTTACAGCAAATATCCATTGGTTTAGTTATTGGTGAGAAAATAGCATCAGTTACGTATGAAATAAACATTTTTGTTAACTCTTGTTACTGCCAAAATATTAATGAAGTATTTTTGTTGTAACAATGTTTGTCTCTGACGGTGCTCTGGCAGATCTAATCTCATAAATGTAATATTGATTAAGAAATTGTATGCGACCTGCTGCAACTTCTTACGTGTAGTTTTAATTGACAAATCGAAAAATTAAAATTGATAAGTATGAATTTTTAAAGTTTAATTTTTCAGAAACTATTCAAAAATATTGAATTTTGACATTTAAAATTACAGCTCAAAATAATGTAAGAATTCGTATATCTTAAAATTGAATGTCTTTTCCAACTTTATTAAATAAAATAAAAAATACAACTGAAATTACATTTAAATAAACGAAGTTTATAATTGTGTTCAACGATTACTTTTATATGCTTAAATTGTTACAGAGATATGGTAAAATATGCAAAATGTAAAATTAAGGGGAGAAAAAATTCTGCCTTCTCTCCTGGAACTAGCTATATTTTCCAAAAAGGGTCTATGGTTTGTGTGTGAAAGTCAAAACTCTAAAAATATATGTTTATTCAGAGAAAATAAATTTTATTCCATTGAAATTTTTATTCTATTTAAAGTAAGCCCTTCGAACTACATATATTTTAATAAATGTAATTATAACAGAACTATATATAACTAGATATATATACATACTTATAACATATTTTAGCGTTCCCACAACATCCCATTGTGGGTCAGTGGATTAATTTCGTGACCAACGGCATTATTGTGGCAATGTGGTCAGCACTGTGCATAGGCCGCCTTTACTTCCCAGACAAGCTGGTATCGATCGATCTAAATCTGGGTGAGCTGCAAGTCGTCACTGGATATAGTATACCAGTTCCTCATAATGGAAGTTCAGTGCCTTAACAGTTCATTTGCCGCAGCTAATTTTTTAGTTACAGTAAACTTATAATTTCATAACGTACAAAAAAAAAGATTTAATTATCTCTTACAGCAAAACTTATGAGTTTAATTTGCATTCATTACGCATGTTTTTGAAACATTTTTTTCTTTCAGGATTCCGATGGTTTCAAATATCTCATACTAAATGAAAAGGACGAATCTGCACATTTTAGAAAAGAAGAAAGAGACTCCACTGGAGTAGTGAAAGGTAGCTATGGACTTAAAGATCCAAATGGATCTATCCGTATTGTTCAATATATTGCTGATGATAAAGGATTTAGAGCTCAAATATCTTCTAACGAGCGAGGAATCGGTGTCCAGAATCCAGCAAATGTAAGAATTAACCGTTTAAACCGTCCAATAACAACTGCTCTTCATGGTTCATCACTGCACGGAGAGTATCACATACAAAATGTTCCTGACCACCTAGAGTCCGAAGTAAAACCTTCTCGTTATGACCTTTACACACCAGTTAAAATGAGGAGACCAAGCTTGTCAAGTGATTCAACAATAGATAACGTACCATTGAGTCGCAAAAAAGCAAACTCAAATTTATTCGGTATCACGAACGTCCAAGAAGTACCATCAGCAGCTTTCCCGTTCTATAGTGATATGAATAAACCTTATTTTCCAATTGAAACTTCTAAAAACATAGGTTCTGATTATCAGACAAGAGTTAATCAAAATAATCATCCATACGATGTTTATGAAAGTCCCCTAGACATGGTTGAAAATGGCGATGAAAATCATTATCAGATACCATATAATAGTTTAAAACTGATGAAACACCTCAGGCAGAACAATGTGTTTAATACCGAGACATCTGAAACACCGTCTGGGGTTTTCAATCCTTTGCTCTACAAACCTATCATAAAGGTTCATAAGAATCTCCCTGATTGCAACAAAGTTTCCAGCGCTGTTCTGTGCAAACCTCCTTATTTATTTTCTCGCACTTTTGAGTATGTCAATGCGACAGAAAGGCAAATGAACGTTCCTCAACAACAATATACTAAAGACAATGTAGTTACAGAAAATGACTTTCCCCAGATACAAGGCCAAATTGAAGCAATTCTTGCACAAAAACTGCTAAAATTAGCTGTAAGTAATGATGAGATAGTTCCATTGACTCAATCTTTGAGGCCTTTCCTTTTCCCTCCTAGTTTCACTTACATCAACAACTTGAATAAAAAAGAAAGTAATCCAGACGATCACAAACCTTCTTGTTCTGAGAAACACAATTCATTGAAAGATTTATTAAAATCCAAGTATTTAACGGATGACTTAGCTGTAACTACATCTCTTAAAAGGCCTCTTATTTACAACAATTTTATGTATAGTCCTCAGATAGGTTCTTTAGTGCACGGTGGTTGGAGTCCTCCAATGACTTTGAATTATGTGCCCTTACAGACATCCTCGAACAGAAATTTTCTGAACGAATTGCTGAATGATTCAACAGCTGAAGCTTCTTACGTTAATTTAAACCGATATAATGTTCTAAAAAATCAGAGGAATCTAATACTCTTGACAAAATTCAACAGTCCTGAAATCTCTCAAAACCCTATTTTGGAATTTTTGAAGAAGCTGAATGAATTAGGATTCACAATAGCTCCAAAGCAAGAAAAGGTATCACTTGAGAAAACTCCGGATTCTTTTGTGCATGTTTTAAATCGTGAAAATTCCGATTCGTACTCTGATAACAAAACAAATCTTTCTAATGGTCAAAAAGACAATGAAAATGCCGGCTCTTATTCTAACGAGAATATTTATACTTTTAATGGACCAAAAGATCATGATGGCTCATTTTCCAACGAAAATACTTATAATTTTAACGAACCAAAAGGACATGAAAACATAAGTTCGAATTTCAAGAAGAATATCTACCCTTCCAATGAGCAAGAAGGTCACGACAGTGTTGATGAAATTGCATTATATACAGCAGAAGAGAGCAATTCTGAAACAACCACAAGCTCTCAAGTGACCACGCGAGCTCCCATTTCCAGTATGCTTTTCGCTCCAAATGCTGAAGAATTATTACATCTTTTTGGCCCACCTTCTGTTCCATTTTATAATGATCATGAACAAACGCTGCCCATAAATGACTCAAAATTTGTTGTATTTGATGAAATAGAAAATCACGAAGAACTTAAAGAACAAGTAAAGGGGCATGACAGTTCTATTCAAAACAATTCATCTGATTGGAAAAAACAATTAGATGATGTCATCAATGAAGAATATGAAAAAACCTCTCTCCAAAGGGAATCATATTTTTCAAACCTTCCTCACACCAAATCTAATGATTCCGTGGAAAATGACTCAGATAAACTTGATAGTAGAATTTATAAAATTCACGAGCCACCTAGCAAGTTGTATGATTCGAGGGGTGTTACGGTAAAGCCTGAAAATGTACCTTTGCACTTGCATCGGTACGTACCGCCGACTGGTATCACTTCTTTCCCATGGAAGTTTGCTATTCCTAGGCCGGCTCCTCCTAGAAGTATAGTCATTCCACCAAAACCACCAGTACTGACATAAAATAATTTAATGAATAGTGATTATAAAGGAACTTTTTTAATTTTCTTGTAAATTAAAGTTGCGTTTTGCATTTTCAGAAAGTTCATTTGTTTCTGTTACCGTTGAATAATAGTAATGGTTTCAACAACCACCACAGCCCAGGTCAAATGATCCTAATTTCATTCATAAAACAATTTCACATTTCGTTTTTATAAATAATTAAAAATAAAGAAAACTTTTAAAATATTCTCACGATTTAATTATTTTTAATTAGTTATGTCTAATACAAATATGCTGTCAAAGTTTTTTTTCTTTATATGAGAACAGCAGTACAAAAGTGTTTAAATGTAGTTAGTTTATTTAGTCTATAGTTAATCCATTTAGTCTACGTTGTGATAATTATTAAGTATTTTTAAGCCATGTAGATAATTGACGATGTAGCTTAAGTTATTTCATTCAACCAAGGAACAGTTATCCAATTAGAATGATTTGTCTCATTGCTAATGAAAATGTGAATAAAAGCATTTTGTGTATGTGTTAATAAATGTTGAAGCATTCAAAATAAAAATTATATTCAAAGTTACAATTTTTATCAAAGAATTAATTTTGTGTAAAGTCAGGATATAATATTGAATGTAGTATATTATTTATTTTTGTATTTTACTGATATGTGATGTTAATTTTGATTTCTCATTGTGTATGTAAGCTTTTAATGCATATTACTTTATTCTTTAATGTTCCTAATATATTTTTTATAGATTTTACACAGATCTATAATTGTTTTGTACAAATGTAATTTTTTTAATTTTATTATTATTTTTTTTGCCTTAGACTATTTATAATAAAGAAAATACTAAAACTTTTATTTTACATTATTTAAACGATCATTAAAAAACATCTGACCATTCTTTTGAGCTAATAGTTTTATAATTGTACTCTATTCCGGAACTACATTGAAAAAAGTATTTGACTTTCTTCATGAGTATTTGACTACTTAAATTATTTAACTACTTAAAGTATGCTTATTAAGGCTTGCAAATTAAAATTTTAGAGATAATAAAACAGAAATTTAGCTAAAATTTGACGAATGCACTGTGAGGAAAGGTGAAATTAAAAATAACAAAACCAGTCCATTTGATTGTTGGGTTAAAGTTACTTCTAATTAATGGCTTTCGCTGGTCTCAATTTCTTTCTTCAAAACTTGCTTTGATATTTTTATTCTTACTTTCTTCGTTTCTGTTTTTTGAGGTTCCAAAAACTTTTTCATTTTTTCCCTAAATTTTAGTAAATTATGACTCATTTCCTACATTTTTAAAAAATATTTTTTACAAGAATTTTATAAGTATATATTAGGCATAGAGAGAGTAATGTTAATAAATTTTTGAACGAAAATTTCCAACTATTCTTAAATTTAAAGTGTAGTTTAAATTTCGTAACTGCTAAAGTTCATATTATTAGAAATTTATGAAGGTTAAACTAGCAACAAAAGGTAATAGGTGTTTTGATTAGTTTGAAAAATTACACTGTAATTAGTCTTTATTAATTATTTAATAAATTAGTACTTAATATATTTCACATTAAGCTAGATCAGCATAATTCTTGCATTCAGTAACAATCTTGTTAGAAGTACAACATTTTAATATGCATAACAATTTACAAAATTAGATATTAAAACTTTTTCGATATTAAAACTTTAAGAAAACTATTGAAAGATTTGGATTCGAAATTTTAAAAATCAACTTTTATAAAGAATTTAAATAAAAATCTTACATGAATTTAAATTCGCTTTTTTATAGTATTACTTACCTAAAATGAATATTTCGGCTGTATATCATATCGCAGGGATTGAACTCCAAAACGCAAATAAATCGATAAAAATTGTTTTAAATTATCGTCTGCTAGATTGTTAGAGAAGGAAAAATATTAAATAAATGAAAAACTAATAGAAAAAGTTATTTATTATTATGTATAAATCATGTGTTAATTTGCGTGGGAAATTTCCGAATTTTCAAAAAGTATTTATAAATTAGGGGACTTCGTCAACCTCCACGATTACAATCATTTTTGTTTCTTTACTATAAACAGGTTGTTACATCAAATAAAAAAATTATTCAGTTATCGGTTTCAAATTTTATTATTGTATTAACACGAATTTGGCTCAACAGTTTTTGATGTCTAGCTCTGTCAGAACAAAGTTTGAATGTACTAATTTTAGTCGGTACCATTAATTAACTTTTGGTTTCTACATAAGATCTCATTAAATATCTTTCGCCAAAGAGACTATTTAGCAATAGTGGAAAATATTCATTTTAATAGAATAACTATAAAGAATTGTAAATAATTATAATTAATAAGAATTATACATTTTAATGATAATTGAAATTGTGTTTTAACATTTTTAAACATTTAAAATTTTTCGTCTTAATCTTAAAATAACTTTTTTAATTACTTAGCCACGTATGTTGCACAGGATTTTACCAACTATTTAATTATATATTTTTATTTTTCATTGTTTTATACTTTACGCTACGTAGATTATTTTTTCAATACTATACAAATCTATTTTCTTAGCATTTTAATTTAGGTTTTTCTGTGAATTGAACGCCAGTTTCCAAATTAATATTAAGTTCTTAATAAAAACCAGCTTAGAATAGTTGATAATTAAGCTTGTTAAGAAATTAAAAAAAACATTCTGTTGCTTTAAAATTACTCCCTGCAAAACAGCTGGCTATAATTAGCATACTATTTTTTTGAAAAAAAAAGATGAGTTACTGTTTATTTTATTGTTTGTTATTTAATTGCGCAATGAAAAGAAAAAACTATTATTTCTCAACTTTAGTACAGTTCATAAAGTGAGGCAATAGGGCAATGCTATAAAAAGTCTTTTTTTAAGGCTGTTGAATGTTTATGAAGAGAAAATGTAGTTTGGGTAACCATCTGAAATAAATTACGATCTGATTAAAATATTTTAATTTCTCTATATTTCTTGTCCCGCAGTGGACAGATCGTGAAGACACGGTTCATAGTAGAACACCGAAGTCAAGCATCACTCACTGGCTGCAGTCAAAAATCGAGTGGTTGACCACTTTGATCAGCCTGCGTAGGAACCGAGGGTGCGCGGTACCGGTCCTCGTTAAACTATTCTACCATAAAGTGTTCGACTTCACGCGCAGGTCGTCGGGCTACCAAAGCAGGGGAGCCATCCCCTGTATAGAGGATCGAAATTGCGATGGCATGTCTTCGAATCATCCTCAAGGATGTTTCCCAGACCGTCTCTAATAGCCCATTGAGCAGCTCTATTGCGACATTAATAAAGTATCTACCTACCTATCGTTTATTTCTTTAATTTATTTCTATATTGAGTAAAAACAAATTGATCAAATTACGATCTGATTAAAATACTTTAACTTCTCTATATTTCTTAAATTTATTTCAAAATTGAATACGAAGTAAATTGATATAGCTGTCACGTACCCTTTATCAATTTAAACTAACAAAAGAATAAATAAGGATAAGCGTTATTGATTATAAGTACTACATAAATAATTTTCGATAAATTATCAATGTCGATCTTATTTTTTATTTTCTCTACTTACATTGAAATTTATCATGTTTCAGAATTAAGTAAATAGGAGTAAATAAAAAATATGACGAGAACAGTTTGTAAGAGTAATAGAAATAAAATCTAAAAAAAAAAAAAAAAAAAAAAAAAAAAANTTAATTAACTTTGGGTTTCTACATAAGATTTCATTAAATATCTTTTGCCAAAGAGATTATTTAGTAATAGTGAAAAATATTCATTTTAATAGAATAGTTATAAAGAATTGTAAATGTATAATTATAATTTATAAGAATGTAATAATTTATAAGAATTGTAAATGTATAATTATAATTTATAAGAATGTAATAATTTATAAGAATTGTAAATGTATAATTATAATTTATAAGAATGTAATAATTTATAAGAATTGTAAATGTATAATTATAATTTATAAGAATGTAATAATTTATAAGAATTGTAAATGTATAATTATAATTTATAAGAATGTAATAATTTATAAGAATTGTAAATGTATAATTATAATTTATAAGAATGTAATAATTTATAAGAATTGTAAATGTATAATTATAATTTATAAGAATGTAATAATTTATAAGAATTGTAAATGTATAATTATAATTTATAAGAATGTAATAATTTATAAGAATTGTAAATGTATAATTATAATTTATAAGAATGTAATAATTTATAAGAATTGTAAATGTATAATTATAATTTATAAGAATGTAATAATTTATAAGAATTGTAAATGTATAATTATAATTTATAAGAATGTAATAATTTATAAGAATTGTAAATGTATAATTATAATTTATAAGAAATTACAACGTCCTGGGCTTATAAAAATCTTCAAATAAATAAATTAAAAAATAAATAAATATTCATTGACTTTAATAATTTTCATCTTAATGGAAAAAATTTCAACGGAAATGGAAAAAGTTGGCAATTTTTTTGTATATGTTTAAGATTTATTTCTCCGTTCTAAAGTTCATATAATACTTTACGGAAAAATGGTGCACAGTGCACAAAAAAGAAAAGAAAAAAAGGAAAGAAAGATATCACCCTGAATAATTTTTGTTCTAATAATCGAATTTTCAAGTACTACGTATCAATCTTAATAGTTTCTGGAGGTGACTTCGGCTATGCTAATTATTTATTTCCAACTATCAATTGCGTAACGAAATCAGATGTAAGAATGTATTTTCTCTAAATAAACATAAATTTTTCTTCTTTTTAATAAACATATTTGGATTCTTGATTTTCAAAACGTAGGGGGTAGCCATAATCTTGAAATTGTAGCTCTAATAGTTCAGTCAGGAGAGCGGAGGATATAAATTAATTATTTTTAGAAAAATAATTTGGCGATAATGTTGAAATATTTAAATCCAGCGATTAATATTTAAATGTGATAATTTACGAGGAACTTGACTTACGCTCGCGTAACGTAAAATTTCATTAATATTTTTTCCGCTGATAGCCGAATGTTTTTTCCCCCCCTCCTTTTCAAATTCTTTTTTTTATTAAGATTTGAATCATTATATTCAACGAATGTTGAGTTTTATGAAAGCATATTTCTGATAGAATGTGGTCATATATCTGCTTTTTCGTAATTCTAATTTTAGTAGGTTGACTGAATAATTGATACAATTTCAATAATACATATATGTATGCATTGATTTGGAATAATTTATTTATCTATTTCTTCAATATATATTTTATAATTATTAAGCAATAACAACTTAAATGAAAATAAAAGTTTTCATAAGAGGTATTAATATCTCTTCTTGAATAAAATTGTACATCTTAAAATTTTTCGTCTTTACCTTAAAATAACTTTTTTAATTACTTGTCCACGCATGTTTCACAGGAGTATTTTAGCAACTATTTAATTATGTATTTTTTATTTTTCATAATTTTATTCTTTACGCTACAACATAGATTATTTTTTTCCAATAATATACTAATCTATTTTTAGAGAATTTTAATTTAGGTTTTTCTGTAAATTGAACTCCAGTTTTTAAATTAATATTAAGTTCTTAATAAAAACAAGCTTGGAATTGTTGATAATTAAATTTGCTAAGAA